CTGACAACTCATGGGGCCCCTGGGCAATAGGGGATCCTGGGACCCCTGTGTTCTTGCTCAAATTCAAAAAAGCCTATGAAAAAGGTACAAGGGGCATCTCATGGGGCCCCCTACTGATCCTTGGCCCTCGGGCAGTGCCCGAGTTTCCAAATGGTCAGTCCGCCCCTGGGGGTGTATTAGACATCAGGGGTCATCAGAGGTCTATTGTACATCAGGGAACTATTAGATATTAGGGGTAATCAAGGGTCTATTAGACATCAGGGGTCTATTAGATATTAGGGGTAATCAAGGGTCTATTAGACATCAGGGGGTCCATTAGATATTAGGGGTCATCAGGAGTCTATTAGACACCAGGGTCATCAGGGGTCTATTAGACATCAGGGGTTATCAGGGGTGTATTAGACATCAGAGGTCTATTAGATATTAGGGGTAATCAAGGGTATATTAGACATCAGGGGTCTATTAGACACCAGGGTCATCAGGGGTCTATTAGACATCAGGGGTTATCAGGGGTGTATTAGACATCAGGGGTCTATTAAATATTAGGGGTAATCAGGGATCTATTAGACATCAGGGGTCATCAGGGGCGTATTAGACACCGGGGTTATCAGGGGTCTATTAGACTTCAGGGGTCATCAGGGGTCTATTAGACATCGGGATGTCAACAGGGGTCTATTAGACATATGGGATCTGTTAGACATCAGGGGTCTATTAGACCTCAGGGGTTATTAGGGGTCTATTAGACATCGGGGTGTCAACAGGGGTCTATTAGACATCAGGGGTCATCAGGGATCTGTTAGAGACATCAGGGGTCTATTAGACGCTGGGGTCATCAGGGGTCTATTAGACATCAGGGGTCATCAGGGATCTGTTAGACATCAGGGGTCTATTAGATGCTGGGGTCATCAGGGGTCTATTAGACATCAGGGGTCCAAAGCAGCTAACCATGCACAGATTGTGCTTGGTTAGCTGATTCCGTGGCTGCACCAGGGAACGATGGCTCTGAAACCAAAAGTGATGGAATCATCATGCGTTCCGGGATCACCGGTCACAGAGGAGATGGAGGAATGTTTGTTCCTCCATCTCCTCCGTGGGATGCCATCCCGACTGTTTACTGTGGTCCTTGGCTCCATGGAGGAACAGGAGAGCCTGGAATCCTCTGTAATCAGCAATGGAAGAGGTCATCATCACAGAGCTCCATCCTTCTTCGCCGAGATTGCCGTCCGCCCGGAGTTCACCTTTAAGCTCTATGGGGCGTGGAGTTCCCCTTTCAGCGGCGGCGGCAGCACCGTGGGTGAAGTGTCCCGCGCTGACAAGTAAATAATGAGCGCTTGAACCGATCGTCAATGGCAAGTGAACCCTTCTTTCTGCCTCCTGCTTCTCGCCCCAGCGGTGGAGGGAGCGCCGATTGTTTCCCCGGTGCCCTCGGGAGGCTCGGCGTGGCCCCGCGCTTGTCATTTCTCACAGGCAGGTTAATCCTCATTTGGCACAGCCCAAAATTCTTTCAGATAACAACAAGCTCATTAAATCGTTCGTCCTTCATGGCCGAGCCGGTGAAAGGCGGCCTTCAGAAAAAAAAAAAAAAAAAAAAAAAGCTTTTCATTCCGACGGGCCCCAGGATGGTCGCCTATTGTCATCCCTTCTCCCAGTTCATTTTCCCTCCAAAAGGCAATTTTCAGCTTCTCCGGCCGGCGCGCAGAGCTCCCCCCGCGGGGAACAATGGGCTGAATGGACCCGCCGCCATTGTCTTCTGTAAAGGCAGAAAAAAAAGAAAGAAAAAACAAAAGTATTTAGGTAAATACAAGAGGCCGGTGTGTACACACGGGGGGTGTCGGGGGGCACCACATTCTACGCTGGTTTAAGGCCATAAGATTTCTTTTTCACGTTTCTCACATGTAGGGCGGCCGTTGAAGTTAAAGCTGCCCTACACATGATGCGTGGTGGTCGGGAAAAAAATTGCGTGGTGGCGCGCCAAAATATATATGGAGATGTGCCCGCCCTTGGTCACGCCTGTAGATGTGGACCAAGAATTCTAGATTTCTTTTTTATGTTTCTCACATATAGGGGGGCCCATGGAAATTAAGGCTGTCTTACACATGGTGCATGGTGGCGCGCCAAATATGTGCAGAGATGTGCCCGCCCTTGGTCACACCTGTAGAAATACGTGGTGGCGCGACAAATATATGCAGAGATGTGCCCGCCCTTGGTCATGCCTGTAGATTTGGACCAAGAATTCTAGATTTCTTTTTTACGTTTCTCACATGTAGGGCGGCCCGTTGAAGTTAAAGCTGCCCTACACGTGGTGCATGGTGGTGGGCAAAAATAAATGCGTGGTGGCGCGCGCCAAATATGTACGAAGATGTGCCTGCCCTTGGTCACGCCTGTAAATGTGGACCAAGAATTATTAATTTCTTTTTTACATTTCTCACATATAGGGAGGCCCATTGAAATTAAGGATGCCCTACACGTGGTGCTTGGTGGTGGGCAAAAATAAATGCGTGGTGGCGCGCCAAATATATACGGAGATTTGCCCGCCTTTGGTCACGCCTATAGATGTGGACCAAGAATTCTAGATTTCTTTTTTACATTTCTCACATGTAGGGTGGCCCATGGAAATTAAGGCTGTCTTACACATGGTGCGTGGTGGCGCGCCAGATATGTGCGAAGATGTGCCCGCCCTTGGTCACACCTGTAGAAATGCGTGGTGGCGCACCAAATATATGCAGAGATGTGCCTGCCCTTGGTCACGTCTGTAAATGTGGACCAAGAATTATAGATTTCTTTTTTACGTTTCTCACATGTAGGGCGGCCCCCGTTGAAATTAAAGCTGCCCTACACGTGGTGCATGGTGGTGGGCAAAAAAAAATGCGTGGTGGCGCGCCAAATATATGCGAAAATGTGCCCGCCCTTGGCCACGCCTGTAGATGTGGACCAAGAATTCTAGATTTCTTTTTTACATTTCTCACATGTAGGGTGGCCCGTGGAAATTAAGGCTGTCTTACACATGGTGCATGGTGGCACGCCAGATATGTGCGAAGATGTGCCCGCCCTTGGTCACACCTGTAGAAATGCGTGGTGGCGCCACAAATATATGCAGAGATGTGCCCGCCCTTGGTCACGCCTGTAAATGTGGACCAAGAATTTTAGATTTCTTTTTTACGTTTCTCACATGTAGGGAGGCCCGTTGAAATTAAAGCTGCCCTACACGTGGTGCCTGGTGGTGGGCAAAAAAAAATGCGTGGTGGCGCGCCAAATATATGCGAAAATGTGCCCGCCCTTGGTCACGCCTGTAGATGTGGACCAAGAATTCTAGATTTCTTTTTTACATTTCTCACATGTAGGGGGCCCGTGGAAATTAAGGCTGTCTTACACATGGTGCATGGTGGCGCGCCAGATATGTGCGAAGATGTGCCCGCCCTTGGTCACACCTGTAGAAATGCGTGGTGGCGCGACAAATATATGCAGAGATGTGCCCGCCCTTGGTCACGCCTGTAAATGTGGACCAAGAATTTTAGATTTCTTTTTTACGTTTCTCACATGTAGGGAGGCCCGTTGAAATTAAAGCTGTCCTACACGTGGTGCACAGTGGTGGGGGAAAAAATGCCTGGTGGCGCGCCAAATATATGCGGAGATGTGCCCGCCCTTGGTCACGTCTGTAAATGTGGACCAAGAATTATAGATTTCTTTTTTTACGTTTCTCACATGTAGGGCGGCCCGTTGAAATTAAAGCTGCCCTACACGTGGTGCATGGTGGTGGGCAAAAAAAAAAATGCGTGGTGGCGCGCCAAATATATGCAGAGATGTGCCCGCCCTTGGTCACACCTGTAGATGTGGACCAAGAATCGGGGGTTTCTTTTTTATGTTTCTCACATGTAGAGTGGCCCATGGAAATTAAGGCTGCCCTACACATGATGTGTGGTGGCGGGCAAAACAAAAATGCGTGGTGGCGCGCCAAAATATGTGCAGAGATGTGCCCGCCCTTGGTCACACCTGTAGATGTGGACCAAGAATTAGGTATTTCTTTTTCGTGCTTGAAATTAATGGGCTGCTCCACAGGCTGTGTGTGGTGATGTGCAAAAAACGCATGGCGACGCATATGTGTAGGAACCCCCCCCCTCTTCTCTCTACCCCCTACCCACCTCTGAGCACCATCCCTTGGTTCCTCCCACTACCCACCTCCGAGCACCGTCCCTTGGTTCCTCCCACTACCCACCTCCGAGCACCGTCCCTTGGTTCCTCCCACTACCCACCTCTGAGCACCATCCTTTGGTTCCTCCCCTACCCACCTCTGAGCACCATCCCTTGGTTCCTCCCACTACCCACCTCTGAGCACCGTCCCTTGGTTCCTCCCCCTACCCACCTCCGAGCACCGTCCCTTGGTTCCTCCCACTACCCACCTCCGAGCACCGTCCCTTGGTTCCTCCCACTACCCACCTCTGAGCACCATCCCTTGGTTCCTCCCACTACCCACCTCTGAGCACCGTCCCTTGGTTCCTCCCCCTACCCACCTTCGAGCACCGTCCCTTGGTTCCTCCCCCTACCCACCTCTGAGCACCATCCCTTGGTTCCTCCCCCTACCCACCTCTGAGCACCATCCCTTGGTTCCTCCCCCCCCCTACCCACCTCTGAGCACCATCCCTTGGTTCCTCCCCCTACCCACCTCTGAGCACCATCCCTTGGTTCCTCCCCCTACCCACCTTCGAGCACCGTCCCTTGGTTCCTCCCCCTACCCACCTCTGAGCACCATCCCTTGGTTCCTCCCCCTACCCACCTCTGAGCACCATCCCTTGGTTCCTCCCCCTACCCACCTCTGAGCACCATCCCTTGGTTCCTCCCCCTACCCACCTCTGAGCACCATCCCTTGGTTCCTCCCCCTACCCACCTTCGAGCACCGTCCCTTGGTTCCTCCCCCTACCCACCTCGAAGCACCATCCCTTGGTTCCTCCCCCCTACCCACCTCTGAGCACCATCCCTTGGTTCCTCCCCCTACCCACCTCTGAGCACCATCCCTTGGTTCCTCCCCCTACCCACCTCTGAGCACCATCCCTTGGTTCCTCCCCCTACCCACCTTCGAGCACCGTCCCTTGGTTCCTCCCCCTACCCACCTTCGAGCACCGTCCCTTGGTTCCTCCCCCTACCCACCTCTGAGCACCATCCCTTGGTTCCTCCCCCTACCCACCTCTGAGCACCATCCCTTGGTTCCTCCCCCTACCCACCTTCGAGCACCGTCCCTTGGTTCCTCCCCCTACCCACCTCTGAGCACCATCCCTTGGTTCCTCCCCCTACCCACCTCTGAGCACCATTCCTTGGTTCCTCCCCCTACCCACCTCTGAGCACCAACCCTTGGTTCCTCCCCCTACCCCTACCACCTCCTGGTACCGCCTCTTCTAGAGAATACAGAAACAGAAGTCTCATTTTGTGGCTCTAAATAATTTGTGTGGAATTTTGTTAGCGATAACAAGAAAAGCAATAAAATAAAACCCCCCCCGCAGCCAGAAACAATAGACTTCCCCAGCAACATATTCCCCCCCTCCAGCAACAATAGACCCTCCAGCATCAAAAATCCCCCGAGCACCAATAGGCTCCCCCCTCCAGCAACAATAGACCCTGCTGCAACAAAATAACCCCCCCCCTGGCAACAATAGATCCCCAGAAACAATAGATGTCTCAGCAGCCAGCATCAATAAACACTCTCCCAGTATCTCTCCCATCAACATTCCCCTCCACCCCCCACCAGCAACTGTAGACCACCTTGGCAACAACAGAGCCTCCGGAACACTCCAGCACCCCTTGTCATTATGTACATTTGGCGCTGGAGGTGCCGGTACTGCTGGTACTGCGTTCCCCCCAGGTTCCTGCTGAAAAAATGTGTGAAAATGTGCCCTTGCTTGGCAGCACCTGTAATGTGAACCAAGAAGTAGGGATTTCTTTTTGGCATTTCCCACACGTAGGGCAGCCCATTGAAAATCATGGATTGTTCTACACACAGTGCATGCTGATGTACGAAAAATGCATGGTGACGCTCCAAATACACTATATTGGCCAAAGTATTGGCCCCGCCCTCCCAATCATGTGATTCAGGTATTCCAATCACCTCCATATCATGTGATTCAGGTGTTCCAATCCCCTCCATATCATGTGATTCAGGTGTTCCAATCCCCTCCATATCATGTGATTCAGGTGTTCCAATCCCCACCATGGACACAGGTGTATACAATCCAGCCCCTAGGCATGCAGACTGCTTCTACAAACATTGGTGAAAGAATGGGTCGCTCTCAGGAGCTCAGTGACTCCAAGCGTGGTCCCGTGATAGGTGGTCACCTGGGCAATAAGTCCATCCGTGACATTTCCTGACTACTAAATATTCCCACGCTCAACTGTTAGTGGGATTATAACAAAGTGGAAGCAACTGGGACCAACAGCCACTCAGCCACCAAGTGGTAGGCCACGTCACATGACAGGGCGGGGTCAGCGCATGCTGAAGCGCACAGTGCGCAGAAGTCGCCAACTGTCTGCAGAGTCAATAGCTAAAGACCTCCAAACTTGGTGTGGCCTTCAGATGAGCCCAACAACAGTGCGTAGAGAGCTCCATGGAATGGGTTTCCATGGCCGAGCAGCTGCATCCAAGCCTTCCATCACCAAGTGCAATGCAAAGCGTCGGATGCCGTGGTGTAAAGCATGCCGCCACTGGACTCTAGAGCAGAGGAGGTGTGTTCTCTGGAGTGACCAATCACGTTTCTCTGTCTGGCAATCCGATGGACATGGCTGATTTTGGCGGTGGCCAAGAGAACGGTACTTGCCTGACTGCATTGTGCCAAGTGTAAAGTTTGGTGGAGGGGGGGATTATGGTGTGGGTTTTTTTTTATAGGGGTTGGGCTTGGCCCCCTAGTTCCAGTGAATGGAACTCTTAAGGTGACATTTTGGACAAATTAATGCTCCCAACTTTGTGGGAGGAGTTTGGGGATGGCCCCTTCCTGTTCCAACATGACTGCCCACCAGTGCACAAAGCAAGTTCCATAAAGACATGGAGGAGCCAGTTTGGGGTGGAGGAACTTGACTGTCCTGCACAGAGTCCTGACCTCAACCCCATAGAACACCTTTGGGATGAATTAGAGCGGAGACTGCGAGCCAGGCCCCCTCCCCCGACATCAGTGCCTGACCTGACAAATGTGCTTCTGGAAGAATGGTCCAACCTTCCCATAGACACCCTCCTAAACCTTGTGGACGGCCTTCCCAGAAGAGTTGAAGCTGTTATAGCTGCAAAGGGCGGAGCCAACTCAATATTGAACCCTACGGACTAAGACTGGGGGGCCATTAAAGGTCATGTGTGTGGAAAGGGCGGGGCCAACTCAATATTGAACCCTACGGGCTAAGACTGGGGGGCCATTAAAGGTCATGTGTGTGGAAAGGGCGGGGCCAACTCAATATTGAACCCTACGGACTAAGACTGGGGGGCCATTAAAGGTCATGTGCGTGGAAAGGGTGGGGCCAACTCAATGTTGAATCCTACGGACCAACACTGGGGGGCCATTAAAGGTCATGTGCGTGGAAACTGCGGGGCCAACTCAATATTGAACCCTAAGGACTAAGACTGGGAGGCCATTAAAGGTCATGTGCGTGGAAAGGGCGGGGCCAACTCAATATTGAACCCTACGGACTAAGACTGGGGGGCCATTAAAGGTCATGTGCGTGGAAAGGGCGGGGCCAACTCAATATTGAACCCTAAGGACTAAGACTGGGGGGCCATTAAAGGTCATGTGCGTGGAAAGGGTGGGGCCAACTCAATATTGAACCCTACGGACTAAGACTGGGAGGCCATTAAAGGTCATGTGCGTGGAAAGGGCGGGGCCAACTAAATATTGAACCCTACGGACTAAAACTGGGGGGCCATTAAAGGTCATGTGCGTGGAAAGGGCGGGGCCAACTAAATATTGAACCCTACGGACTAAAACTGGGGGGCCATTAAAGGTCATGTGCGTGGAAAGGGCGGGGCCAAACTCAATATTGAACCCTAAGGACTGAGACTGGGGGGCCATTAAAGGTCATGTGCGTGGAAAGGGTGGGGCCAACTCAATATTGAACCCTACGGACTAAGATTGGGAGGCCATTAAAGGTCATGTGCATGTAAAGGGCGGGGCCAACTCAATATTGAACCCTACGGACTAAGACTGGGGGGCCATTAAAGGTCATGTGCGTGGAAAGGGCGGGGCCAACTCAATATTGAACCCTACGGACTAAGACTGGGGGGCCATTAAAGGTCATGTGTGTGGAAAGGGCGGGGCCAACTCAATATTGAACCCAACGGACTAAGACTGGGGGGGGCATTAAAGGTCATGTGCGTGCGGGGTGCCGGGAAGGGGTGTGTAGGGAACAGAGGGTGCAGGGAATGGGGGTACAGGGAACTGGGGGTGCAGGGAACAGGGGATGCAGGGAACAAGGTGTGCAGAGAGCAGGGGATGCAGGAGCAAAGGTGAACAGGGAGTGCAGAGAATGGAGAGTGCAGGGGACTGAGGGTGCAGGAAGAGGGGGTGCATGGAATGGGGGTGCAGGGAACAGAGGGTGCAGGAAGAGGGGGTGCAGGGAATGGGGGTGCAGACAACAGAGGGTGCAGGGAACGGGGGTGCAAGAACAGAGGGTGCAGAGGAGAGGGGGTGCAGACAATGGACAATTCAGGGAACAGAGGGTGCAGAAAACTTGGGGTGCAGGGGACAGAGGGTGCCAAGAATAGAGGGTGCAGGGAACAGGGGGTGCTGGGAATAGAGGGTGCAGGGAACAGAGGGTGCAGGGAACATGGGGTGCAGGGAACGGGGGTGCAGGAACAGAGGGTGCAGAGGACAGGGGGTGCAGGGAACGGAGGGTGCAGGGAACAGAGGGTGTAGGGAACATGGGGTGCAGGGAACAGAAGGTGCCGGGAACAGAGGGTGCAGGGAACAGGGGGTGCAGGAACAGAGGGTGCAGGAACAGAGGGTGCAGAGGACAGGGGTGCAGGGAACGGGGTGCAGGAACAGAGGGTGCAGAGAACAAGGGGTGCAGGGAACGGAGGCTGCAGGGAACGGAGGGTGCAGGGAATGTGGGGTGCAGGGAACAGAGGGTGCAGGGAAGAGTGTGCAGGGAACATGGGGTTCAGGGAATAGAAGGTGCCGGGAACAGAGGGTGCAGGGAACAGAAGGTGCCAGGAACAGAGGGTGCAGGGAACAGGGGGTGCTGGGAACATGAGGTGTAGAGAACGGAGGGTGCAGGGAACAGGGGGTGCAGGGAATGTGGGGTGCAGGGAACAGGGGGTCCAGGGAATATGGGGTGCAGGGAACAGAGGGTGCAGGGAACAGGGGGTGCAGGGAACAGAAGGTGCCAGGAACAGAGAGTGCAGGGAACAGGGGGTGCAGGGAACAGGGGGTAGCGCTCAAGCATAAATGCAATACATGATGGTGATCACCACGTGGGATAAACTAAATGCTCATTAATGACATAAGTATGTGCGCAGCAGAATGTGTAGAGTCCTTTAATGCACACATAACACTGCAACCGATGCACACAGGAAAATCCAGTGATCCGTGTCACATTCCTCCTAAGCATGCAAAGTGGAGGAATGTGTATGAACCCACACACACTCCAATGTGATCCAAAAATGGCTAGAATGGCCTCTCACCTCCAGCCTGCGACCCTGCAGGGCCACAGCGCATTGAGTAAAATACCACCACAAGGACTAGGGTGTCCTCCTCTCGATACCGTATCTTGGGGATATAAGTACAGCTTCCACCTCTCCTTTGATGTTTTTATGGGCCAGTAAGCGGGATGAATCTCAGCTCAGATCCCCATAAAACAAAAGAACATATCCTCCATAGTGCAAACTGTTTATTTACGTTAAAAAAGAAATGAAACACACTCACATGGGCAGAGTGACATCCAGCGTTTTCCCCATATGCTGGGTGTAAGCATAGACCTCAAAGGTGTTCCAAGATGGCGCCACGCCGGAAGTGCGTCACCACGTCAAACCGTCGACGCGTTGCGTCACGTGACCTCGTGACTTCATCAGGACTAACGTGATTGGCCTATCGCACTTCCTTAAATAGGTCTGTATTAGCACCCAATGGGAATCCATTGGGCGGGATCACGGCAGCCATATTCCTGTAGCCCATAGTTAACAACCGCAACACACAGGATCCAGGACATAAAATACCCGGGACTTGATAGAATAAGGTCGAAGCTATGCCAAACTAAGCTGCAACCAAACATAAAGTGACCCGAATATTGGAAACTATATGCAAACATCCCAAATAGGGTGTACATTAATACCCACCCAATACCACTTATAAAAACAATATATGGTTAAAAACTAAATGGTGTATAAAAAATCCATATAGGGTGTATCATATAACTATGATCAGTC